ATAAATTTACTCTTAACAATTTTAAGTGTGCAGTACAGTATTGTGAACTATATCCACATTATTGTATAACGGATTTGCAAAGCTTTTTCCATCTTGCATAACTGAAACTCCATACCCTCGAACCACAACTCCCCATTTTTTCCACCCTCCAGTCCCTGGCCGACCACCATTCTACTTTCTGTTCCTGAGTTTGACTACTTTAGATACCTTATGTTAGTGGAACCATGCATTATTTTTCTTTCTGTGATTGATTTATTTCACTTGACATAAGGTCTTCAAGCTTCATTCATGTTGTAGCATACAACAGGACTCCATTTTCTTTTAGGGTCAAATGATATATGTATATATACCCCTCAAAACAGGATTACCTTCTGGAGGGCAGGCCCCTTGTAGCAGAAGCTTCCCTCACTAAGTGAGTGTTCTAGGAATACATCTGTATCTGTGTACTAGCTGGCGTTGTTGTGAAAGGCTGTGTTAGGCTTTGGTTAATTTTTTTTGAAGATTCTTTCAACCTGTTCTCCCATTTCATGATGGGTGATTTATGAGTGAACCTGCCCACACCGTGCTGAGTGTTCAGCAGTGTTTGATCAAAAACTGCAGGACCCCTGTGCCCCACCCTCTCTATTTACCTGATCTTGCCTCCAGCAACTTTTGTTTTCCAGGATGAAAAAGTTCTCACAGGGAAATGTTTTGCTGATGTGAAAGAGGGGAAAACAACAAAACAAACAAACAAACAGCAGAAGCACAAAAAACATCAAAATTGATGGGTTCCAAAATTGTTTTGAGCAGTGGAAAAAAACCTCTTGATAGGTGTATACATCAATGGGAGAGTGCTTTGAAGGTGACTGAAGTTTAAACATGTAAGAATAAATACAGTTTTTTATAAATAAATTCTGTTTTTTTTGAGATTATATATTTACATATATTCATTCTCATTCATCTGTTGATGAACATTTAGGTTGTTTCCACAATTTGGCTATCATGAATAATGTTGTAATTATCATGGATTTGCTCATATCTCTTCAAGATTCTATTTTTCAATTCTTTTGAATATATACCCAGGAGTGAGATTTTAGTTCTATGTTTAATTTTTGAGGAAACTCCATACTGTCTTCCATAGCAGCTGCATCAGTTTACAATCCCAAAGAGTGACCACCCATTTTAAAAATAATCAATTTTATGCCCTCACTCATGAGGCTCAGTTGGTTAGGCATCGTCCAGCAAAGCCAAAAGTTGCACAGGCCTGGGTTACGGGTTCAGTCCCTGGTTGGGGCACATCCAAGAGGCAACTACTCAATGTTTCTCTCTCACACGATGTTTTTCTCCTCTTTCTCCCACCCTTCTCCTCTCTCTAAAAATAAATAAACAAAATTAAAATAATCAATTTCAGAATGTTTCTGATGGCAAACTTCTGAAAGCTCATCAATGAGTGATTTCTGGAATCATGTGAAGATCATAGCATGTGATCCTCATCCAAGTCTAGCCTTCTAACCAATATAGTAGGATCTCAATAAATATTCATTAAATGAAAAAATTAAACAACTCCAGACTTTTGCTGCATTTTCTCATTCTCTATGTCTATGAATGGTCCTATCATTCCATAGAACCAGATAATGTTTAGAAGTCAGAGGGCTTGGAGATCATCTGATACAGCTGTATAATTTGAAGAGTAAAATTATGTGACTTCCTCCCCTCCCCCAAAGTTGGACCAAGAGACTTGAATTTATTTAACAAAACCCAATTCCTTTTTTAAAAATCTATCTTCAAACTTCAGGGTGTTTTTTTTGTTGTTGTTGTTTTAAAGATTTTATTCATCCATTTTTAGAGAGGGAAGGGAGGGAGAAAGAAATAGAGAGAGAGAAACATCAATGTGCGGTTGCTGGGGGCCATGGCCTGCAACCCAGGCATATGCCCTAACTGGGAATTGAACCTGCGACACTTTGGTTCGCAGCCTGCACTCAATCCACTGAGCTATGCCAGCCAGGGCAAATTTTAGGGTTTTTTAACTATATAGGCTCTACTTGTTTTAGCCTGAAAATAATTGTTCTTATTTTAGAATATGAAAGCAAAATAGGGCTTAGTTGTTTATCTCAATGAGGTTTATCCTTCAAGGGGGAAAGTTTAGGAGGTTAAACACCTAGGAACTTCTACTTTCAGGACCAGTTTAGGAGCTATTCAAAGAAGGCATTAGAGTTTCCATCAGTGTAATTACCAAACAAATTAATTGGATTTGACTCTTAAACACTTGAATATTTCAAAATTAAGCCAATTCTGAAAGGACAAAGATTTGCCACTATTGGGAATATTTACCAACTAAATAAAGATTGGTAATAATGGCCACTGTTTATAGGGTTTGCACCAGGTATCACAGGCAGCTATTGGTATTATATCTATTCCCATTGAAATGATGACTTTTGATTGTGTAACTTGTCTATGTCACACTGAAATTTGAACTCTAGTCTGTGAGCCACCAAAAACCATGCTCTTAGCCACTGCAGTGGTTACCTGACTATATGCAAGGAGCTGTGCTGGAATCCGTGGGGCATTTGAGAACTAGGAAACAAGCCCAGAAGTAGCTTATGCAGCTAGTACATCATATAAGGCAAGCACTATACATGAGAGAAAATGTAATTGCCCAAGAAGACATGTACTATGTTATTTAAAGAAGTAGGCCATGAATTCTGAAGTCAATAGGAATAGATATTTAGAAAAAAAGAAAGGAAGGAAAGAAAAAAAGGGAGAAGTTTACATTAAATTCTTTAAATTTAAAGAGCAGAAAGGGTCACAGTAAAAAAAGCAAAAGGCAAATCAGAAGATATGGGTTCTCTTTTCCATTTTCCACATACTAATGAGTGATCTTGGTTATACTGCAAATTTTATACATGGTATAATCACATCATCAGAATAAGTTTTTTTTCTGCTTAATATGGGACAGCAAATATACTAGAAAAGTTTGATATGACTGTTTACTCATTACATTATGTATATTATATCATCATACATATTATATTAGTTTTTTTCATATTAGATGCAATGCAATGTTCTTCCCCAGTGTAACTCAAGGGCCAAAGCTGTCTTATAAGAATCAAAGTCTCTTGTGATTAACTGAAATATTAAAGAAAAGACAAAGTGCCAGGTAAAAAAAAAGTTCTTCCCTTGCTTTTAGCTTATCTCTCCCCTCCCCCAGCCTTTATTCTCCTGACTCTGTTCAAGAAAGAGAGCACAGGAGCATCTTATTAGCAATTCTTATCCAGGAAATATGAGCACTTTGGGTCAATTGAAGGGAACTGGGAGGAGAGGGAGTCAAGAGGGAGAAGAATGTCACAGAATAAAAAAAAAAGCACCTAGTTTAGTGGTATACAGGAATATCATTTTGTGTAAATTTATCAGGTAATTAAAACATTCTTGTAGATGTTTCATTGTATTACCATTAAACATTTTCCCTTTCTACGAACCTTTATTCTGATGCTTAAAAATAGTTCAAATTCATGTAAATTTTAAGTAAGGTTTTGGAGGTAATGTAGCCAAGGGTTTTACCGTCTTTCACGCAGTTAAGTAGAAACTGTCAAGTAGACTGATCCTTATTATAGTAAAGCTTCCGGGGAGGGTAGTGCTGCCCTCCCAGCAGATGTTCTAAAACTGTTGATCCCCCTCTTTTTTCATAAGGGTTTGGGGAACATGCCAAAGACAATGTGTTGATGTCTTAGGGACAAAAGCTAGCTTTCTGTCAGCACTTTTCATTAAGGTGGGCTTTTAGCCTGTACCCTCATCATGTGCCATAGATTTAGTTTGGGATTAGCGAATGGTAATCCACTTGTAACGCGCTCTACGATCAGCACACGTTTGGCCATCTGATTACATTTTTTAAATGTACATTTTAACTCCTCTTGCTATGCTTACTTTTAAGAGATGTGAACAAATTCACCAACTTGTGTCTTTCTTAGTCGCGTTAATCTCTAACCAGGTTAGTCTGTCAAAGCCTAGTTCCCTAAGAGCAAACTCAGAGAATCTAAAAATCTCCAGATCCTCAGTTCTTATGACAGGGCCTTTTGTATGTGCAGTTCTCACGACTCATAGAAGTTGACTAACTTGAGATAGAATAAAAATATCTTCTCCAAAAGTACTTGTTCATTTCAGGGCTCTTCGGAGATGTTTCTAAGCAGTGCTGCATCTGATGGGGGCAGCGAGGAAAAGAACTGTCCGCAAATGTGGGGCTTATCACTCGGAGATGCCTCCAGTGGCTCTGACAAATCTCTGAAGTGGGAAATAGTCAGTTTCCCTTCACAGGGCCTCAGCGTGTGAGAGGAGGGGGATGGGCAGGGGCCATCAGGGGAGAAGTCTCCGGCCTTTCCCCGTCTCTCAACACCATCCCTCCCCCACCTTGTCTCCTCCTTCCCCGAATTCTAAACAAGCCGGCGGTAAAGGGGCCCCGGGGGCACACTAGCCGGGAGGCTCGGCCTTTGTGGCTCTGTCCTCGACGGTGGCGAGGAGGCAGAGGGGGCGGGGACGCAGGCCACAGACCCTCAGCCGGGGCTTGACCCCCAGGTGCATTGTCCGGCCCGGCCTGCCCCCCTCCCCCCTACTCCCCCACTGCCGGTTCGCGACCCGGCCGCTACTGGACCCCCTCCCAGCGTCTCCCTCCGCCGGCCGCGCCGACCTCGCGGTGCCCAGACCAGGGGCCAGATGTAGAAAGTAGTCCCCAGTCCGGCAGCGGCGGTGCTGTCCACTCCACCGCCCCCGCCCCCTCCAGCCGCCGCCTCACTCCGCCCCCAGGCCGGACTCTCCGGTCCCCCGCCTCCTGCGAGCGGGTGTCCGTGCGCCGGCCTCGCCGCGACCACAGAGAGACGAGGGCCAGCCACGCTGCTCCGCGCCACACTGGTACCCGAGCGGAAAGTCCAAGCTGCGCTTCTAGTCGCGGCGCAGGGAGCTCGGAGGCCGGGGCCCGGGGGCGGACAGCGGCTACGGGGTGGCCGGGGAGCATGCCCGTGCAGCCCCGCTGAATGGCGCCTTCTCTGCGAACCCTCGCCCGGCCGCGGCCGCCAGGGATGCTGCTGCTCCGCGCGCTCCTACTGCTCCTCGGCTCAGTTCCAGGTGGGCGCGTTTTCTTATGCGCTTCTGCGCCTGTAGGGCGTGAGACGGAGCGAGTGGGCTGGGGAGGGAGAGAAAGGGGGTACGTGTTGGGGCGGGGGCGACGAGGGCCCCCGCGGTGGCGCTGACCACCCGCCCCTGTCTCCTTCCTGCAGCCCGTCGGAGCTGCGGCTGGAGGGCTGTGGGAGCCTCTCCCAGCGCACGCCCCTCATAGCTGCGCTCCCACTGGCCACAAGCTGTGGGGCCGGGGCGCCCGCTGTCCACTCTTGCCCGTTCCTCCTCGCGCCATTGTCCGCGCTTCGTCTGAGTCCTCGCCTCGGCAGCCAGCCCGGGCCCCGCGCCGCCCGCCGGGCCGCCACGGCCGCACGTGGCTTTATTTATATTGTTTCCTCAGTGGCAGACTCGCCACACAGGGGGCGCCGGGGTTCCGCGGGTTTTCCGGGTTTGCAGTGAGAACTCCCCCACGTTTTAGAGCCGGGGAGAGAGGAGGTGAACTCAGCGCCCAGGTCAGCACCCCTAGTGTCTCGACTTTCCTGGATCTGAATGGAACGAGGGGAAAATGGGAGAGGTGAAATTGGAAAGAGAATAGGGTCAGAAGTTGCATGGCCGATTTGTGTCTCGAGTGGATAAAAATACCCGAAACTGAGAAGGCAGGCAACTAAGTAGGACTTATTTCTCGCAGCCAGGTATTTTGGGGGAGGGCCTGAGGTCTGTACGACTCCGAAGAATCCACCCAACTCCAGGTTAACCGTGCGCAAACTTGGATGAATTAATTTTTCTTTGCCTCCGTGTTCGTTTATCCTCAAAAATAAACGTACAAAGTGGATGTGGTGGTTGGGGGTGGAAAAGGTGTTCAGGCGTCTGGGTTGTTTTATTTACAGGTTACAAACCCCGTACTTTGCCTTTTTTCTGGAGGAGTTAGTTTTCTGTTAGCATGAGAAAAGGATCAAAGTTAGATTTGACTCGGAAACACAATGGGCGCCTTCCGGAGTGGCCCTCGCAGCCTGGGGCTGTTTAGGGTCGCTCGTGTCGCCCTGGGCGTACATTAGAGATCGTCAGTATGGGCGTGGGAGCGTGACTAGTGTGTGAGGTTACCAAGACCAATACCGGGGATGTGTAATCATGGATTCAAAACAATCAGAATTGAGATGAAACGTTTCCTCCAAACCCCTAATGCTCTATTCTGCCCCAATCAATATGCAAGACTTTAGCTGACCTTTGCTCTAAATGCAAAAAGTGATAGGGTATTATTAGGTGGCCATCGGATCCTGGAGGGGGCCAGGGGCGATGTGTATACTTAGGGTAAAGCCTTTACTCTGCTCCGATAAAAAGTACTGGTTGATTAAGCAATCTCCTATCCCTATTAGACAGTAAGGACCAATTAGTCACGCATTTTTCCCCCAACAGTTGGCAGTTCTAGGGAAAAAAAAAAAATGAAATAAAAGTTTCCTAATCCGATCACCCACTGAGTACCAGCAGCAAGAGTTACCAACTTTTCAAAGTCAACTCTTTGTCCTTTAAATATCTACCTGACTCTGCAGAAATTAAGTAAATGGGTCTTTCCAGGAGAGGAGACAGGATCCTTGCTGTAAAAGGGCAGATATAAAAATGCAAACTTGAGGGAAGATATAAAAATGCAAACTTGTAATTTGTCACAAAAGATAAATGCTCTTCTCAAAGGAGTAGGTGCCAGGGTTCCAAAAACACTTCAAGGGACAAGGAAATAAACTTGCTTGTTCACAGAGTTGGAGTTTTGCTAATGATTTCTTGTAAAATTAGACTTTTACGACTTACTCTGTTCAAGATCTTTTTGACAAGCTTGTAAAAGTAGCAAACAGCTTGTGCTCATGAGTTCTCCCGATGATTTTGAAACTCTAGCAAGAAACTTGAGAACAGAATTCTTACCAGGCATAGAAGTTATTGAAATCTTCCCTGTGCTCTCAGTGAAGAAGTAAAAAGTGATATTTCTGATTTGTTGGAAAGGTTTGCTGAAATTCACATTAGTTTATTAAACTTGTGAGTTAACTAATGTGCTTTGCTAAACTTTGTCTCATTACTTCCTGAATATGTGTTTTACAATTGTGTGTTACAAAATGATTTTATACCAGTAATTTTGGATATACTTTTCCCCTTTTTCCTTATAGGAGTGTGGTGCTTTAGCGAACTGTTTTTTATAAAAGAGCCACAGGATGTAACTGTCACAAGAAAGGACCCAGTCTTGTTAGATTGCCAGGCTCATGGAGAAATTCCTATTAAGGTCACATGGTTGAAAAATGGAGCAAAAGTGTCTGAAAATAAACGGATCCAGGTTCTGTCTAACGACTCTTTATACATCAGTGAGGTGGAAGGCAAGCGAGGAGAGCAGTCTGATGAAGGATTTTATCAGTGCTTGGCAATGAACAAATATGGAGCCATTCTTAGTCAAAAAGCTCATCTTACCTTATCAAGTAAGTGGTTAAATTCTTTTTTTACATTTTTCATTGTAACATTCTGATGATTTCTTGACTCATTTATATGCTGACCCTAAAATCATACAGACATTAAGAATTTTCCTGGAGATATTGATGGCAACAAAGTGGCAGGCAGAAAAATCTAAGAAAATATGTGAAACTGAAATGAGTTATTGAGAACAAAAGTCAAATTAGGTTTAGAACAACAAAACCTGTAGAGGTGGCTTTATATAAATTGAATTGTTTCACATAGTGAGAAGAGTTGAGTTCAAAAATTTGGCCAACACAACAGTTGTTAAAAAAAAACTAGTCTTTTGTAAAAGAGTAATTACATTTTAAAATTACAAGCAAATCCTTCTGCTTTGTAAATGGCCCTTGAGTGCTAAATCTTTCTTATAGCCCAACCTTCCATTTCTCTGACTGCTTTAAGATCACCCATGTTGCTTTTAATTGTAAGAGAGGGCATTGGTCAGTAACTCTCAAGCCTTTGAAGTATTCCTAGTCTTTTCCTGCTGAGACAGAAAGAGATTAAGGCCATTTCCATATTATGCCTAATGGACTTAAACCAGATCTGCCCACATTTTCCAGTTGTCATAAAGTTTGCTGTCTAATGATTTTCTTTGTATTAACAACCCATCACATCAACTGTTTGTCCAGGTGATCCATTGCTGGGTGGTTGACCTGATGACTGTTGAGTGTAAAGATAGGCCTAGAATAGATGGGTTACTCCCTTGTTCCCACTGGGCTTTCCCCGGTTCCAGGTGACCAAGCACTGCAGCACAGCACTCAGCATTATAATAGACAATTTAAATCTTAATTTAAAAACCTACACAACTAAAAATAGTTTTATAAGCATCCTAATTACATGCTTTTGTTGATCCACCAGAAATAGATTCTGCACTGTAACTACAAATTGGTCATTGAAAAGATGAACAATAGGAAGAAGGAGCTCTTGAGATGAGGCATAATCTTTAGGAAGTAGTTTCTTCAGAGTCTACACAGTTGAAATTTAGGAAGCATTTGGTAGTGGGTTCTTAGGTGGTTTTATTGAAACAATTTATGGCTATATTTATGTCACCCTCATATTAGTAATTTATTTTATTTGTACAATAATCAATTATAGAACATAAATTACAAGCAATGGTATTTTTATATTGAAATATGTCAGAAAAGTAGAAAAGTTTCCAATTCCAGTCCCCTCTGCACAAGAATAACCTAAACCTGAGAGAATTTCTGGTAAACTAACTTTCTTGCTGTAATCATTGCCCAGTAATTCGTTTTCTTGTTGCTGAGTAATGGTTTTTCTGTGCAGTACTGTTTTCAGGAGAGAATGTTTTTTATGTTATGTTCTGTTCATTTAATTTTTGTCTATTATAGAGTATTTTAGAGAGTTCTCATTTTTCTACATTTTCAAGTTTGAGAAATCTTGTATTTTCATACCCAGAAACTGTAACTAGTATTACCTTGCTAGAGAGGAGAAGGGCAGGATGGAAAGGTGGAGGGGAGTGGATGGGCCTTAAAAGATGAAGCATTAGACATGACCACAAGTTGTTTCCAGGACCTCCTCGGAAGCCTGACAGAATCCAGGGGTACCCAGAAATAGTTCGAAATCACCCAGAGCTTTCAGATTGCGTAGTCTGAACAGTGTAACATATGTTAATAACAGTGAAACAAATGCTAGTATTGACTTTTTGAGTTTTTAGATTTTTGAATCTTTGTAAAAATTTAATAAACTTTTAATTAGATGGGAATCATTTTTAAGGTTCCTGTGAAGTAGTTTTCATATTATAAGTATTAAAAACCTTCCAGTGAGACTATATAGAATGTTGCTTTGCTGTTAAATACCCACTGTAGTCAGTTTTAGGGACCACGCTTTTCATATGCATATATTAAAAGAAGTGCATAGTGGGTTTTAAATTTTTCTTTAGAAATATGAGATTTCTTAGAGATTCTGAACTCACAAAGTTCTGATATCTAAGAAGCAATGTCCAATGATGTGGCCTTATATGACTTTATTCTGTGTTCAGGGTAAAGATATAATATATATTAAATAGGAGGAGAATAGGCATTAACTGGACGTTTGGGGTTTTTTTGCTTGTTTGTTTGTTTGTTTTTTAAAGCTAGCTCTCTCCTAGTTACTGATAGCAGCAGGGTGCAAGTATGTCCTTTTTATATTCTGGTAAAAGATTTTGTCAATAAGCATATCTTTTGGTTCAGAAGTGTAATAATACAGTGTCTAAAAATCTAAAACTTTAATCTGGATAAATTTTAGGTTTTAAACACACAGACAGTCAAGTCTTGATTTCTAAACTTAGGAACTAGAAGCTGAAAGTTGCACTGTAGGCAAGAATTCCATTATTCATGTGTAAATTAGGAATTCACAGGGTTAAAAGGTTAGAAACTGGCCAGGATGAGGTTTACCCTTGTGATAAAGAGCAGATGACCCTCATTCATTGGCCAAAGCTTTCATGTAGCTCTTCTGCAAAGTTAGTTATTGCCACGAATTGTTCTTGAGGAATGCAGAAATTCAAATGTGAACAGGCCTTTCCTTAAGTGTCACTATGGAGCCTTATCTCCCAAGCACATCAGAGCCTGCTTCAGGGACAAGGTTCCTCCCCAAAGGCCTGGAGGCTTTACTTTCCTGTTGTTCATCCAAGCACAAAAGAATTTGTCTTAGTTTTTCTAAGGCATCCCATTTTTAAAGGAAAGTATAGGGTTAAAGTAACATTTAGTCTTTTTAAACAGGTAATCCTTTTTATTGATAGCCGTTTTAGCTGTTTTACATTTTCATGTAATTGGAATAGAAAGGAGAGTGACATTGGGAGACCCCTTTCTAGTTCTATAGTAAGAACAGAAGATTAAACCATTTCCTATAAATTTCAATATTTTAAACTTTTGGCAAATCAGATTTTCACTTTCATAGGTGCTATGTCTTCACTATGTAAATACTTTAAATGCTTTAAGAGTAAGAAATAATCGAAGGACATCTTGACATTTCTTGCATTCTTGATGTTGAAATAAGTAAGATAAATTTCATAGGAAAGCATTAGTGTGGTAAAACGGTCTCATATTTCAACAAGTTTAAATTAAGATAAGAGACATTGAGAGAAGTAAAGGAGGAGGTGGGTTGTGTTCTGTGATGTGTAAAAGACTGGCTGTAAGCTAGTGATTGAACAGGAAGCTAGTTGTTTATTTCCTTTCCATAAAAGGTGGAAGTTGAAGTCTTAGGGTAGAAGGAAAGAGAATATAAAGCTGACTTATATTTCATGGTTTTCACAACTGTTCACTTGGGTGAAAAATAATTTTTTAAGCGAGCATTTGTAACTGGAAGACCATAGGAATTGTAATTTTTCATGGATTTTCCCAACATTTTTGGGTTAGTTCTGCCATCATAAAGTTGTTTGGGGTGGGTCCATTTCTGTGACTTGAGTGATATATAAATTATAGCCCAAAGTTGATCTTGAAATGTGAGTTTAAAATATATTGAAAACATTTAAAGAGTCATGCTAAAAAGAAAGAAGCTGGGTAGTATATTGAAAAGAGAAAGATATAAACTATGAGACTATTAGCCTACATTTTGAGTTTTATTAATGATCTTGGACCCAAGATTTTGCTATACTGTCACTTTTTATTGAGATTTGTAGATGCTGTAAAGGACAGAGTCTTATCTGCATGCACGTTCACTTCAAATCATGCTGTTAACAGTTACCTGCCCTAATTCCAGAGTGCTAACACAAAAGCTAAAGTCATTTGATTTTGAAAACATAAGGCAGAACTGAGGTATTTAGAGAGATCAATCTGACAATACTGTAGGTGAGGTTCAGATGATGCTTTCTGGGATCCAAGAAAAATTATCTTTAGAAAGAGGGGGTATGGTTCAAAAAGAACATGTTTAACTTAAAAATTGACCTTAAAATTTACTTTAAAATTGCGAAAGTTAACTCAGGGAAGTAAAAGCACCTACAGTTCTACAGTCTTACAATGACACTTGGTTCTTAGAGTCTGTCTACTTAAAAGGTTTCTCAGGTACCTGGTAATTGCTGGGTAATGGAACCAGTTTTTCCCACTTTGCAGTTGATTAGTGAGGATCATTTCTCATCTTCAGAAATGAGTAACACTATCTCACTGTTTTTCACAGTTGTTGGAAATTTTATTTTTTAACAAAGCAGGATCTACTGAGGAGTAAATTATAATTTATTTCAAGATGTATATAAATGTGTGTACTTTGCTTCTGTCCAGCTTCTTAATGGAATTTTGAAAGGGCATTTGGTATGCCTCTTTTGTCAACTATCTCTGATTATTCTGGAGAAAGGGTCTCACTCAGAGCAGTTGTTTGCCAATGGATTTGTTGTCACTGCTCCTCAATTTAACAGCTGGGCCTATTGATGAAATCCAGGGCAATTTAAAAGAATAGCAAAAACCAAATCTTTTAACCAGGGTTTTAGGTTGAAGGAGATTTTTAATTAATAAATAAATGCATTTGAGGTTACTTTTTTTGAAAACCCTAATATTCTTGAGTATAGTTTTCAGAGATTATATTTATTTGTCATACGCATAGCACTCAATTACGATTGATTACTTTCAGCTTTTAAGCTGGCCATTACTATTTATATTAAAAACAATCAGTAATGTTGAGGCATTTCATTGAAGATCATTCTTGAATTTTAGAAGCAGCTGTGATTATTGTTTTAAGAGAAATCCTAAAAATTATACCCCAAATAAAGTTTTCATTGTCAGTCAGCACTATTTTAATACTTCTGAGAGTTTATGGTGTTCAGACTTTTTATTGAAGCATTTTTAAACTCATTTACATCTTGGTAATTAAGAGAGGAAGAAGACACACTGGGGATCATTGAAGCAATATTGGCAGTAGCTTTAACGTGGTAATCTGCACAGAACAAGCTCACAGTCAAGAGCTGACAATGGTGATGTGCAAAAAAGGTGAAAATGTACTAAATTACCTTCAGTGGCTGTAATTCTGAAGCCAAGTGACTGCT